AAGTTACTATAACTCACCCTCTACAAACCTACTGACCGACTGATCTACCTGGCAACAAGCCATCTCAAAAAAGATAAACACAGTATGAAAATGCAAATGCTTTCATGTCCATGTGCCAAGATCCCCAAGCAGCTTACTCTCAATGACCTGCAGCTCCAAACCCCATGAGGTCTTCAGTTGTAGGGTCAGTTTCCTCTCATCTCGGCCTCTCTGCAGGCCGGTTTAGACATTCTTGGCCGGGCTTTGTGCAGTTGGCAGCGCTGCTGATCAGGAGGCCTGCTGACAGACGGACCTTCATTCACCTGCTGGTATCGCCTCCGGCATCGACTCCACATTCCTCAGGCAGTGTCAAACTGTCAGAGTAACACCATGGCTTTATAACATCGCCGTCTATCATCTTTCACACACAGTTTAAACTTTAAAGTAAACTCAGGTGATATCTCAGGTGATGCAGAATGCAAATTCCCCCCAAAAGTTCAAACTTCCTTAAAAGTTATCCTTAAAGGGATAGTGGAAATCCCCGAATTTTGGGTTTAACTTATGTATTTGTATTAAAAATAAGCATAATAAACAATTTTTTTTAATTTCATGCGCCTAGTTTCATTTTATTTTCAATTTTACTGCGCCCTCTCAATGAAACGAAATACTTCGGGAATCGTCGGGAATCTTCGGGTGATGACGAGAGCAGAGGAAGACGGGCACAAACAATGGCGGACATTCAATAGCATTTGCATGTGAATAGCCGACCTTTATTATGGTGAATAGATGTGTTTTGTATGGCTGTAGTGCGACAGCAAATGCAGAGAATGGCGTATCGACTCATGCGTTTCCAAGAAACCCAGCCATTCGTCGTCAGTGGGTGAAATGTGTTCAGAAATGTTCACTATAGGTAATACTATAAGACGGCAATACTTTATACCGAGTATATTGCCATAAATATGATGATTGATTATCAGTAAAAAATTCTACGTGACACAACGACATTGGATTAACCTTGAGATGCGTTTTTATTCCGTTGAACACAACTTTTGATCACAAATCAAAAAAGGGAAGACGTAATTATTGTAATATTTTTGGAACCGGATGTTGTTTACTTTCTCTTTTCTGGCTGATAGCTCCAGGAATTCGAGGTCTTACAGTGATGACATTACATGTGTGGAGTCTCAGCTTTAAATCGTATATCTTGTTTGTGCAGTTAAGATAGTAATAAGGGCATTTCTACCGTGTGTTGTGTGTAAAAAAGCGTTAGCATTAGTTAGCATTGTTTCGCTCAATGCTAATTCAAAGGCTTGGTATTACTCTTGTGTTTTTTCTAGCTAACAATTGTTCTTATTGTCAGTTAGCGGAGTTTCTTACCTTTAAAAGGGTATGAAACATTAATAGTTTCATAAATGTTAAGAAGCCCTGAGACATGTGAGAGGAAAAAAACTGTGGGAGGGGTCCACTGGGGGGACCTTCGGGATTAACTGGTTAACAATGATTAATATTTGTAAAGGCTACAGGTGATCTTAAGATGCGTGAGCTATGCTTAGGGACCTACCAGTCAAGATTATTTGTGCAGGGGTGCATCATTTGGCTCCTGGTCATCCTCGCCATTGCCCATGCCGTGAACCATCACCTCGGGCTCGGGCTCGAACAAATAAGGACGTAATGGTCCATCGTCTGGCTCAATATTCTCACCATCGTCGCTTACTGAACCGGATTCAGATTCAGTTCCTAAAACGACATTTTCGTAGGAAAGCCGAGAGGATGTTTCTGACTCGCTATCATCACTGGATACCTCGTACAATCCTTCTTCTTTGTCTGGTATATTTGCCCTTCCACGTTCATTCTGCATAGACGCCATAGTTTGTTATCGTATCGTCTTCCTGAGTTTTCGTCACTTCCGGTTTGGCTGAGTCGAACATTTCGTTTCTAAAAAACTTCGGGGAAGCTGCAATAAAGTGCTTCTAACATGCGTAAGGCAATTATTATATTTTTTTAATCAGGTGTGATTGTTTTGGTACGTAATTATGCTTGTATATAAGTTAAAACGAAACTATTTGAGGTTCCATTTCCACTATCCCTTTAACTTAATTTTCTTTTGGTTAGAACTTGATGTGGAAACCTTCATGAGGAAACAGTGAAGAATGGTTAGGTCTGTTTCTCTTTTTACACATATGTATTTAAAATAACAATTACAGTTAACAATTTGTAAGGGAATGTGAATGTCATCAAAGTTCAAAGCAACACAAACAAATGTGCAGGTTTCTGAAACTATGCATCATAATAAATTGATTTTGCCTGAGCAGTTTGATATTACTGATGCTGGAGTGACCGGCTCTTAAGCTGCCTACTTGCTTATATTTTTAACCCTAATGCAAACTCTAAACTAACCCTTTTTCTTGTCACAATTCGACAATTGAATATCAATCTCCATGTTGCTTTTTGCTTTCAAAAACATCCCTCATTCTAGATCAGCAAACTTAACCTTGGAGTAATCAATCCGTCAGATCTGATGCAATTTATCGTTCCAGTTGTTCGGACTTCTGCTTTTGTGTATGCCCGTTGACATGTCAATAGGCCCAATAACAACATTTATCACCTCACAAAACACAGTTCAGTTCTGTCAGAGATCACCTATATGTTTTGCTGCGGACATTAAAGTGAAATCAAGATTAAAATGTCTTAATCTTTTTCCTCCACATGGGGCTCTTAGGAACTTCTTGTATTCTGAGATGCCAAATTAAGTAAAAGAATACACAAAATAACTTATTGAAGCTAACATTGTTTTCACAAAGTATGATTGTTTTTACGGGTTATTTGCTAGTTTTCTCTACATGGGTGACTGAAAAGGAATAACATCCTTACATGGGATTCAGTTGAGCATTTTCTTGCACAATACCAAATCCCTCGTGGAATGCCCCATCTTTCAGCAGCAGGGTTTCACTTTAGCGGCTAACTAGGCTCCACAGATCCCTATCTATCCCTGTGGCTAAACTCAGCATAGCTGTATAGACTAAGATCAATGCAGAGTCTTACCTGCAACCTGAGCCTCAGTGGTCACATTACTGGCCTTAAACCAAACTCCTTTATATTGGATGCAGTTCAGATTAACTCGGGTCAAATCTGAGAGAACAAAATTCTACTTTGAAATATACGATTTGGCTTGAATGATTGTCAAAGTGCAATAGAGCGGTTAAGTGCTCTAAAACCTGTTGAAAGAATCAGCAGGTTGTTTTTAATTGACGGCTCCTGAGAGTAAAAAGTACCAGAAATAGCAAATGATGCATTTATTTAGACAACTATTTGGGATTCCACTTTAAAATATAAAATGTGGCTTGAATGAGTGTCAAAGTGCAAAAGAGCAGTTACTGTACATGCCATTTAATATATTGAAGGAATCAGCAGTGCTTTTTGAATGGAGGCTTGTGAGAGTAAAAAGTAACAGAAATAGCCAATTTTATATTTATTTAGACAAATATTTGGATAGGTCTAAAGATTTACTCTCCCTGTCCTCAAGCCCGCCTTAACCTGCCATCAGGCCCTGGGTCTGATAGGTTTTGTAGGCCCCCTATTTAAACAACAAATCAAAGTCATTTATAGCCTCGGCAGGCTCTGTGATCACACACACACACACACACACACACACACACCACTAATTGAGCACCATGAACAGCAACATATGGCCTCAATGCCAGGTATCAGTAGATGAGAATGATCCTTATCTCCGGTGGATTAACACGAACCTAGTTATGTAAAACGATGCACAACACATTTAAACCTGCAGGCTACTGGGAATCAATGAATAGTGCAGAATTGCCTTACCTCTTTAGCAGTGCTTCCGAAAAATCCTTTATGATGTTCTTAAAATCCATCTCACGAAGAATGTCATTCTCAATTGACATCAGTGTTAGGTTTCCTTTTCCGAGCGCCGCTCTCAAACTTTTTCTTCTCTGAAATTGTCTCCTAAACAACCTTCATCTGTCACTCAATAAATCGCAATTTGAATAAGTCACATGTGAAACATATTCTCATTCTGATTGGCTGTTAAGTGGTGCCCACTGTCTGTTACGGAGTCATCTCTGGAATCCATCGATCTGATTGATTAGCGGAGCAAATGATCAAAATACTACGGAGGGAAGATATTTTCGTTTGGATTACTGGTCTGGGGGAAGCTCGCGAGTGTGTGTGTGTATACGTGTGTGTGTTTGTGTATTTTTGCGTTTGTGTGTATTGTGTTTGTTTCCCAGGCAAAACACTCACGAGAAACACCGGCTGTTGTTATGCCTGCTGTGACGTCAAGTTACTCCGTTCTCCGCTTGTAATTATGCCGTTACAAGCTTCAAAGTTGTATTTATCATCTGAATTTGCCGAAACAAGTTTAATATTCTGAAAGCCAAGACTTTGTTTATTTGAAATCAGATGAAAGCAAACTGTAACAGACCCTGCCGTGTTATCTATGATTACTATACTCTTACATTCATAATTTCAGCGGAGGGAGGGGGAGCAGCGCTGTGGAACAGCAGAGTGGTGAGGGAGAGCTGTCTTCTTCCCTTTACAAGCTTCAAAAATGTATTTATCGTGTGATTTTGGAAATAAAAGTTTCATATTCTGAAAGCCAAGACTTTGTTTATTTAAAATAAAAAGATTTAAATCTTTTTTTCTTTTCTTTTTTTCTTGGCTCATGATAGGCCCCCGATCTCCGTAGGCCCCTGGGCTTCAGCCCAGGTCAGCCCGTTCATTAAGGCGGCCCTGCCTGTCCTGCTTTCACGTAACGCTTTTGTATCCTAACCTGATGTTAAGCATAAATCGCATCAACAGATGTGGAGCATGATTGTCAAGTGTCTTTTCCTTCCAACAGATGTGTCTCTGTGGAGGTCAAAGGCCATGGCAAAGGCCACATAAACATGGCCAAAGCAGAAGTTACAATAGGAAAAAGCAGGTGTTTGCAGGACACAAGTCTGTGGGACAGGAATCATGGTTTTCATTGTTTTGTGAACTTTTGTTTTCTTTTTCAGATTGACGCAGTGACCGCAGAGGAAAACATCGTATTGGCTGTCATCTCCTCCTTACACTCACATTTATTTTTTACAGAGCAGCTTTTTCAAAGTTAGTAGCAGCTGAGCTCAGCTTTTTGAGTATTTTACTGATAGTTGAATTTCTGTCTATTACAAAAGGTCAACATTTACTAGATGTATCATGGGTAAAACGTATTTACCATTTATAAACAGAAAACAAGTGGTCGATGATATGATATGATGTTATGGTAATGGATTTAATGTCTAACAGCATCAGTATCCAGCGTTAGAAATCTTATTAAATCAGTGTTATCTACTTATAAATACCAAAAAGGAAGCATTAAAGTAAACTGTTACTGGTACAACTTCACAATATGGTACAAATTGTTTTTATGGTGTTATTAGTGATTATGAATAGTTTAAAATATTGTATTGTACACAAATAAATGCTGTTATAATTCAATGTAAGTGTAAATACAAGCCTTGGCATATTCACTGCCAGCTCCTTAGCCAAAGACTTCTTTAGTGTGACTAACCTAGACTTTTTTTTCTCAAAATAACTTTTGGTATGTATTCATAAAGTATAATTAAATAATAACAATATAAAAGTACATAAAGAAGACGTGTTTAGGACTTTCATATTTAAATATAGTTAATAATGTTCTTGAATCAACTTAATATGTTATTTTTGTAGATGCTACATTTGGCTTTTCCATGGCATTGTAATTGAATTGTATTAAAGTTTTCATTGTGTTGAAACATTTCTGAAATGTTCATGTCCTTTGAATGTATTAAAGAAAAGTATTTTAAATGTCTCCCACATGTTTGTCATTATTTACCATCAGATTGTGCATAATAGTTGTGAACAATCTTGGTCTCAGAACCAAATTAATTCTTACCAACCAAATTAATGATAAAAGTGACACCAAAATAACTTTATAAACATCCCATAAAATCATGTAAGCTTTATAAATTTCGAAAGATATCCTAATAACTTTTCATCCATATGTTATTGATGTGAGAAAAAAAAAGGTTATCACCCTAATGTATTGTCTTTTAAATCACATCTTCCTCCTTTTACTGTAAGTGCAAACATGATCTCCAGGTGCAAACACATTTAGTTCAATGTGACAGTGTTAAAAGACAGGAATCCTCCAACAGTGTGCTGCACCCATTCAGGGGTCAGTATCCGGCTTTCTGATTTAGGACCCCATGTCTAGTAGTAGACAAGTAAGGTTGTTTATGATGCTAATTAAACCTTAAACTGAGGCTTAAAGGATGAATCATATTTTTATGGAGCTATTTGTTGCATTTCGTTCCCTGGGATTAAGATGAAAAAGCCTGCTATTTAACACACAATAAAGCAAAATTAACTGCTGTATGGGGTTTCCCATTACTTGCCTATATATATATGGATATATACTCCTGTTTAATTTCACAAGCCTTATAATATTTTTCTAATTTCCATGTACAGTGTTGCCCAGCATTTGGGTCTGATCCAGCAGCTATATCGAGCCTGTTTCCATGGGCTTCCGCTCTCCTTTAAAGTCTAGCGAGACTATATCAATCAGCCCGCAGGATGCTTTAATCCACCATTAAGCAGATGAAATGTTGCACTGAGCCTGCGGTGCAGCAGTGACGGCAGGAGAGGATCTAAACATTTTGGGCGTTCCCCTCAAACCTGACCGCAGTCATGGACACCCTGCACCAAACCATCCAGAGCAGCAGAACACAAACCTGTTCCTCCTCGGAACTAGATCCAAATGTCTCAGGTCTCAGTATCCTCTATTTATACGCTGTGTATATTTACAACAGGCCGGATGATTAGGATGCTAGCAAGAAGTGAGGAGAATGTAGGGGCAATCATCTTTGGCTATTCTAAGGAGACAAGAAGTTTATCAGGGGTGAGCCCCTCTCGGATGTCAGTTTGTTTTCTCAAAATCTAACAGTACTTCCCTGAGTTATTGCAGATATTTCTCAGTTGACCCTTCAAAAAATATATACAATTAAAAAAATGCTTGTAAGGAGCACTTATTTGAGTTTTTAAGAAGTAGGCGTGAGGATGAGGGTACATGTAGAAATAAAAATCACAAGAAACCTTCATCAAACTATATGTTTTAACCATTAAAATGCCCTTCTTGTTAAACTATATGTAACAGTATTTATGTTTCTGTTCAGTATAAAAGCTCTGATGCTGCAGACCTCGTCTGCACAACACCCTCTGTATGTAATTGTCTCCATGCACAAACACACAGATTTTGACAGTGATACACATCCACAGGTGTCCTGCACAGCTGGACTGAGCTGTTCATCAGCTGTATGAAATGTCGAGATGCTCTCAAGTGATAACGTTCAGAATGTGAAGAATGATGATAAAAACTGTTTGGAAACAGGAAAACATCCATTAAACCTTCTGTCAGTGTGCTAAATTGTGGAATGTTGCAATGATTTAGGTTTCAAATGTTTTTCTGTGCTTTTTCGAAAGAAAACATCAAATAAATTGTCTGAAGATATCATTTATTTATTTGTTATAGTTTTATACTATGTCAAAGAAAAGTTACATTTTATATCAGTTATCACTTTGCATATATTTCTTATTTACAGCCTGTGATACATTGTAGCCTAATAAACTGCATTTGATTTTTGCTCATTCCTCGTTTTGTTTTAATGTTGTATTTCTTTTTTGCTTGACACTAAGCCATGTTTTTTTTTGTTCAATTAATTGGCACATCGGTGATAGGAGCTAAATCTAATGTATGATAACATGTTCACAATAACAATGCTAATATAATGATGATTAGCAAGTGTAATGTTTGGCCGGGTTACTATTAAAGGTGGGGTAGTTAAGTTTGAGAAACCGACTCGAGATACACTTTTTGTTATATTCCATGGAATGCTCTTAACATCCCGATAGCAATGAATATCTTAAGTGCTTTGACACAAAATCCATAAAAAAATGTCATCTGTGGAAGCCGTAATACTGTAAAAAGTACAACTTTGAGGATTGCCGTCCTGTCTGTCAGCCTTCCATCTCGTGCACGCACAAATGTATCTCGTGCCGTCAATGGGCGTGCATTGCAGCAGCAGGCGGCCACTTTCACCAGTCTGCTGACGTCATGTGCGCGTTCATGTGTGTTGGAGGAGGTGCTCTGTAAAGAAGTCTGAAGGAAGGGGCGGATTCTTTTCGGCTGTGTACTTTCAAATGTTCGTGCACTCGAGCCGGTTTCTGAAACTTACCTACCCCACCTTTAACGTTAGCATGCTAATGTTTGTAAATTACCACTTAACACAAAACAGAAAACTGCTTGGCATAAACCAGTGATAAACTAAAATACAGAACACATTTGGACATTATGATGGAGCTTGTTATAAAGCTAAAACCATAAATAAGTGATAACAAAATTGACATATAATATTTTTAAGTTGATTAGACTAACTAGCTAGCTAACATTTGCCTATTAAAGCTAACGGCTGTACGTTACACGAGTAGCCGTCGAGTCGTGTTTGTGTCCAACTGATGACTACAATAGCCTATTCACTCTCTTTTAAGGGGAATATCTGACTCTTGAAACTGCACTTCGTTGTCCAGCTAGCTGCTCATTTTTGTGTGTCTGTTGTATCCGAGTGTAGGCCTAGGTTATTGTTTTACTGAAATGGTACCTGTTGCGGCCGAAAACGGCTATGACAGTAGTGAAAGTGAAACAAAAACAGTGAAGGTGTAGGACAGACAGTCTTACAATACTGGAGATCTGGATCTCGATGTGGCTTTATCTTGACAGACTGCAGCAAGAGGTAAGAAAGCAAGTATTTTCTTCTCACTGTGTGGCTGTTGGGGATACAGGGACGGGATGCCACTTGGGATTTGTTTCCCATCTATCATAGGGTCATTACTGCCTGCTGTCATCATTAGATGCCCTCTGGATGAAGAGTTGATCCTTGGCAGCAAGGCCTGGCTTTGACAGTACTTCTCTCTCTGTTTACCTTAGACGTTCATTAAAAGGCATGTCATGTATTTGATATCTAAACTAGACAAAGTCAAACGAATGGCTTAATGAATGCCATATGCAGCTGGAGATCAGTGTGTTTAGAAGATGTTATGATGAAGAATGCTAATTATTTCTCTATTAACAGGTATATTAAAGCTGGAAAGGTACTGCATATTGATTTACCATATGGCTCAGGAATAGCATTTTCTCTTTAAAATTATTTTGGATTTCATAATTCTTAGTTGAGAGATCTTGCCTACACTTCTTCACTGTAGGAAGAATGTGAGTGAAATCCAGGAGTAACAGCTTAGTGTGTTTGTTTCTATAGTTACACCCAGTGGTTTATGTGTCCCCGTTTTTATTCTTGGCTGCAAGTGAGGAGGTCAAGATTTATTTAGAGGATGCAATGAAGAGTGTGATACAGAATGCCTGGATGCATATGGCATCTCTGCTATTTGGTCCACGCTCCAGGAAAGGTTGCTGAGGGGTTCACAGTGTTTTCCTAAAAGCATTACCATGTTAATCAAGTAAATCGATACACAGAGGAAGTTTAATATAATCATTGTTTAAAGTTAAGTATTTACATTATAAAATTAGACTTTTATTAACTTCCTGAATGTTTCCTGAAGCTTTTTTCAGAACATATTGCGTTCCTGTGCATTAGAGATATTTTCATTGGCCCTTACAGGATAATTAACAACTATGATATTAGCCAAATTAATTGATAAAATGTAACCAGCTTCAAAGTAATGTATGACCCTGGACTCGTCTTTTGATAAAACTTATATATTAAAAAAATGGCAACCATTGCGTTTAAAAGAACTGTGAAAATGTTTGAGCAATGCACAAGGATCACTTCATCGAGTGTCAGGCCCAACTCAAAAGATGATCCATAAAAGGCTACTAGGTATTTTTATCTTAACATGACCTTGTGCACCATACTGAGTACACATTCTCACATTCTCACTTCATACAGTACGACTGCTTGATTTCCTCATGCTGTGCTGTGTCACTGTTAATGCAGAAAACACATTACATTTCACCGATCCTTGCTAAAATAACATTATAACATTTACTTACTGTGTCAGATTTTTTTTAAATGTTGGCAAACAAAATATCTGCCCTTATAAATTATACTTAATTAGACCCTGTAATAATAAAGGAGGGGCTTTCCAAGATTGGACACTACAAGGTTTAAAAATGGAATTGCAGATAGAGAACCCTCTTAACAAATCTTAAGAACCTGAGCAGTGTGTGAGCAGTGTTGTCTTTTCTCTGTGTGTGTGTGGGACCAAACAGAGTCCATACACCTGTCCTGCCAGCTGATGTCAGGTTATTGTGCCTCTCTGTGGGTTATGGCCTCTCCGGTGCCTAAATGTCCCTCGGAAAACGACCTTAGAGGCACTCAGCCACATGAGAAGAACATAAAAGTGTTGGTTATAGTAAACTTTGCCTTTTATGATTATTAAAACCTGTGGAATCAATCAATCAATCAATCAATGTTTATTTATATAGCCCAATATCACAAATGTTACATTTGTCTCAGTGGACTTTACAGTTTGTACAAAATATCAGTATGACAATATGACACCCTCTGTCCTTAGACCCTCACATCGTACAAGGAAAAACTTCCAAAGAAAACCCACAGTTTAAAGGGAAAAATGGGAGAAACCTCAGGGAGAGCAACAGAGGAGGGATCCTTCTCCCAGGACGGACAGACGTGCAATAGATGCCGTGTGTAAATTGAAAAGATAATACATTTGCAACATAGGTAGTCCAAATGTGGAAGAGCTTAGAAATTGTGCCAAATATGTTGAATTTTCTGTATG